CACCACACTTACAATCTGCTCTTCTTCACTCCTAAAAGATGGTATACCTCCCTGGCCAGTGCATGAAATTACCGCCTCCCTTTCTTCCTCAACATTTAAAAGTTCCTCAAAATATTCTCGCCATCTACCTAATACCTCCCTCTCCCCATCTATATATATATATATATATATATATATATATATATATGCTAGACAAGCCACGGGGTGGAAATCTGTAGCTCAAGTACTTTCACATTTCTTAGTGCATCATTAGGAGCTGTGCAATGTTGCAAGAGAGCAACTAAAGCAGGGAGAGTTCTCAGGGTAGCATAGTGTGGATGTGTCACCATCCACAGTTTCCCTTAGAATTTTATATACTCCAGGTATCAGTCTTACCACAGGAACGTAGATACTAGAGTTCAGATGATACTCCAAACCCAATATCTCCAGCCTTCCTTCAGAATGTAGCACTATTTCTCACCTCCGGGACTAAAGCCCGGAGATATCGTGTCTGAGAGAAATGTGTGATGTAAATATTAGGCAGAGAATTAGTAATTTGAAGATTAGGAGGAGGTGCAGAGATACTAAAAGTATTATCCAGAGGGCCGAGGAGGGGATGAGTGGTTTGGTCGTTTCATTACTTTTTAACAAGTCACTAGAAACTAGCACCTTCCCGAAACTACTCATGATGGCAAGGGTTACACCAATACATAAAGGTGGTGACCCTACAGACTTAAACAACTATAGGCCAATATCAAACTTACCATTGCTATCCAAAATCTTTGAGAAACTCGTGCATAGGAGACTATATTCATTTATAACAGCACAAAACATACTCAACCCCTGCCAATTTGGATTTAGGAAAAACAAAAGCACTAATGATGCAATCATAAAAATGCTAGATCTGCTTTACACAGCATTGGAAAATAAGGAATATACACAGTAGACCACGACATCCTACTCCACAAACTTGACCATTACGGTATAAGAGGCCATGCCCTTGCTTATTTGCTTATTTCAAATCTTACCTTACTAATAGGTATCAGTATGTTACCATTAAAGACACAGCATCAACAACACGGCCACCAAAAAAGTATCCAAAACAGTTGGGATCCTCTCCAAGATACGATACTACGTGCCGCAAAATGCCCTTCTCACACTATACCACTCACTTATTTATCCATACCTCACCTATGCTATTTGTGCTTGGGGATCAACTGCAGCAACACACCTAAAGTAATAATAACCCAACAAAAAGCTGCAGTAAGAATAATCACTAAATCCCATCCCTGGCAACACCCCCCCCCCCACTCTTCATAGATCTAAACTTACTCCCTGTTCAGTACATCCACTCTTACTACTGTGCAATCTACATCTACAGGACCTTAAACTCTAATATCAACCTTGACCTAAAACGCTTTCTTGATAGTTGTGACAGAACCCACAGGCATAACACCAGACACAAACATCTCTACGACATTCCCCGTGTCCGACAAAACCTTTACAAAAATTCAATGTATGTCAAAGGCCCTAAAATCTGGAACACCCTACCTGAGAACTCTAGAATTGCAGACACATTCATCACCTTCAAAACTACCATTAGAAAACATCTTATCTCCCTGATACACCCCATCAACTAACTACACGAATACCACCTGGTGGTTCACACTTACACTCACTCACCCATTTGACCATAAACAGAAATATTAATCTCAATCTTAAAATAATGAATCCTATGATACTCCAATACTGAAACTATGTACTGTGCCAAAACAAAAGCATTCACATTGCTAAACTCACAAACTAGTATTTAGTCACTTAGCCATAATACCAACTTACCTCATAATTTGTAATATTTTAAAATAAAGAATTAAACTAAGTCTGCCCGAAATGCCTAGCCATGCTAGGCATTCTAGTGGTACACTCTGTAATTATTATTTAACTACATGTAAACCACACAACAACCAAATTCTGTAAATTCAACATTGTAATCCTTATAGAGAATAAACTTTGAATTTGAATTTAGAGAGGATGGAGCAAAATAGGATGACTCAGAGTGTGTATAAATCTGTAGTGGAGGGTAGGAGTTGTCCTAGGAGAGGATGGAAGGAATAAAGGTAGTTTTGTGTTCAATGGGCTTTGATGTCCAGCAAGCATGTGTTAGCAAAAGCGTGTTAGAAAAGAGTGGAGATAAATGATATTTGGTATTTGATGAGCTGTTGGAGTGTGAGCACTGTAACTAATATATGCAAGTTTATTTAGGTACACGTACACATACAGTTACACAAATTATCATACATAGTAACATATGTGTAAATTACCCAGGATAACCCAAAAAAAAGTCAGTGACTTACTTCCATTGTGTCAACACTACCAGCACCTCACTCTGGGAGAATCATGTCAAAATTAAATGCTAATACTTCAGAGACCATCACAAGCCTAAAAAATAATGAGAAGTAATCAGGTTTAATGCTAGAAATAGGGATGATAGCCCCTAGTTCCTTCCATCAGAGCCCTGTTCCTGCATCAAGACAGCTTCAAGTGCTCAGCACCACCATGATACACTGTCTTGAATGCCTTGGCAATAGAGCCACAACAAGTCTGGTTATCTCAAGTTACTGCAAGAAAGTCTTAAGATTGCACGAGACTTCGCAAAGAGTTTGTAGCGAGACAGCAGCCTCTTCTATGAATAATCTTGATGTTTGTTTAATATAGTTACTGATGATCAATACTTCTTCCATGATTGAGTTAGGAAGAGGAAGAAATAAAATATAACACCTAGTTACACTAGCAGTGTGCTGCTTCACTATCCTATAATAGTTACACTAGCAGTGTGCTGCTTCACTATCCTATAATAGTTACACTAGCAGTGTGCTGCTACACTATCCTATAATAGTTACACTAGCAGTGTGCTGCTACACTATCCTATAATAGTTACACTAGCAGTGTGCTGCTTCACTATCCTATAATAGTTACACTAGCAGTGTGCTGCTACACTATCCTATAATAGTTACACTAGCAGTGTGCTGCTACACTATCCTATAATAGTTACACTAGCAGTGTGCTGCTACACTATCCTATAATAGTTACACTAGCAGTGTGCTGCTACCTATCCTATAATAGTTACACTAGCAGTGTGCTGCTTCACTATCCCATAATAGTTACACTAGCAGTGTGCTGCTACACTATCCTATAATAGTTACACTAGCAGTGTGCTGCTTCACTATCCTATAATAGTTACACTAGCAGTGTGCTGCTACACTATCCTATAATAGTTACACTAGCAGTGTGCTGCTTCACTATCCTATAATAGTTACACTAGCAGTGGTGCTGCTACACTATCCTATAATAGTTTACACTAGCAGTGTGCTGCTTCACTATCCTATAATAGTTACACTAGCAGTGTGCTGCTACACTATCCTATAATAGTTACACTAGCAGTGTGCTGCTTCACTATTCTATAATAGTTACACTAGCAGTGTGCTGCTTCACTATCCTATAATAGTTACACTAGCAGTGTGCTGCTTCACTATTCTATGATAGCTACACTTGCAGTGTGTTGCTTCACTATTCTATGATAATTACACTAGCTGAACCACCAGGGTTATACAGCACTCCAAGTTTTGTTAAAAAATCACAAGTCTGGTTAAAAGATGCAACTTTTAGAGTGGATGTTAGTTAGCATTATTATATTTATGGGGAGGCACTATTTGCATAGAAGTCATAGTGTCTAAGGGAATGGAAGGTAGTATTATTATAATCACAACTAAGTGCTAAACCTGGAATGGAAGATAGTTTGGTTTGATCCTAGACGAGGTTAGGTTATTTTTTGGGGATCAAGAGCCCCCTCAACAGCATGAAGGAACATTCCTTGAGGGGTGATAATATGTTAGGAAGCTGGGGATGTCAATACTAGTTCATTTTTCCAACTTTGGCAGTCCTTGCAGAGGCACTAGGCATCTCTCCATATGATAGCTGCATGAATCATACATAATTATAGTACAGTAATAATATATAAAAGATAACAGGACATCAATTACCCCAAGGTGAGACCAACCATGGCTGAAAAACAATCTATATGTTATGTACATGCTGAATATGGTCTTATATTTGGTGTGCATCACATGAAGCCATAATCTTGCATACCAGCAATAACCCTTGGGGCGACCCAAGGGAAGACTACCTTGTGTTTAGGGACAGTCAGTTCCTCACAAGCTTCAGGATGGTTAACACCAGTTTGTCCTGTGTATGGATGTCTAAATTAATATAATAATTAAGTGTTAAGCCCACAAGGGTCATACAACACTGCATGATAGGGTGTGCTAAAGGTTTAATATAATTGATCAGAGATTAGCAAGGGTGGAGAGTATAACAGAGGTAGATTAAGGGTGGTGTGAAGTGCTAAAGGAAGTACAGTGAACCCCCGCCTTACGATCAGCTCCCAACTCGACCAATTATATAAGTGTATTTTTGTAAGTGCTTTTGTACGTGTATTTTTGGGGGTCTGAAACGGACTAATCTAATTCACAATATTCCTTATGGGAACAAATTCAGTCGGTAACGACACCTGAACAGACTTCTGGATTGAAATAATATCGTAAGGTGGGGGTCCACTGTATAATCAAAGTTTGTGTATTAAATCTGTTGATGTCAAAAAGTCAAAGAGAGAGAGTGTCAAAAGTGATGCCGTGGGTGTCTAAAGTTTCATGGTAATATATTATTACATTCATAGGGGGAGTGCTAAACCCAAAAGGGTTATATAGCACGTGGGGGAATTAGAGCAATCATTTATACATTGATTGGTATTATCACAACACACTTCCAGTACTTTGTGATCCTCAGTGCTTCCTGCACTAATACAGAGAAAATACAATTACAAGTGCTAAGTGCACAAATATTATAATAATTATACAAAAAACTACGCAAACTAATAACCTTATGAATTAATATTATTATAATCAAGGGGGAGCACTAAATCCGTAGGATTATGCACCACCTGTGGGGGATGTGGAAGGTATTCAGGCTTAATTCAGGAACTGCAGCACAGATCCAATTCCCTAGATTAAAAGCCCCTTACCAACATCAAGGAATCTTCCTTGAAGGGATAACCTTATGGAGCAAGCAAGCTGTTGGTCTTGTTATCCATTACAGCTTCTGATAATTTCTATCAGCATCATGTGTTATATTTGTCCCTTTAGATTTGGAAGACAATCCTGTTGAACAATGATATAAAGAAGGTAAGAGCTAAACTGGAAAGGGTTGTACAGCACATTCCTGTTGATGTTCCTCATTTAAGTTAAAGTCTGTCGAGGTCCATTTTGAGCTTTGTGTCTTCAATAAATTCTGTATGCCTTCAATAGTTTCTGTAGTTAGGGTAGTGTGATTCAAGAGGTGGAAGAAGAAAATAATAATGTAATCTATTAAGCACTAAACCTGAAAAAGTTATACAGCACTGCAGGTGGAAGATAAACATGGAGCAGAGGAATAGTAATATAATCATAAGTGCTAGACCCAAAAGGGTCTGGAGCAGAGAGGAAACACACTGGCAGCTGGCTAGAAAGAGGCTGTGGAAGGTTAGTTGTCTCTTGAGACAGGGGGTCTGTGTGGGCACAAGTGGAGTACTGAAAAGATGTGGAGGAATGTATTGCTGCAGCTGTCAGATGTAAGATCAGTGGTTGCAGAAAAGAAAGCATGAAGGGAAAATAGGTTGGAAGGTAGTTTTGAAGACTGCTTGATTTTTTAATCTTTAAGGCTGTGGTTCAAGGATTAGGTGAAGCAGGTGGAGTGGGTGCAGTGGTATGGAAAATTACAGTGGGCTAAGAAGAGGGAATAAAAATAATTCATGCTAAGCGCTAAACCCACAAGGGTCATTCAGCGCAAGACGTGGTGAAGGTTTGATTCTCCATCTGCCGAGCACAAGATAGACGAGCTTCTTATTTGTAATTACCTGAGGTGAGAATTTTTTTAAAATTTGAATACATACTGAGGTGAGTGTGTTAAGAGATTTCTACTAGGTATCAAGCGTTGGGCAACTCTGAGACAGAATAGTTGTGGTAGTTTTCCTTGGTGACTGAGCTGAGTTGCTGCCATATTGTATGGCAGACTTCTTTTTTTTCCTTCAGACAGAAGTATTTCACTTTCTCAAAGGAGATGCCACAGTTAATGCAACAAGGTCAAAGGACTGATTGTTAGGACCTCTGCCAACTGGATATACTGACTATGATCCATAATATTCTGCCAGGTGTCCAGAGTGCCACCTGGTATTGGGGGAGTTAGTGGGATCTGCAACCAACCCTCACTGGTATAAGTAGAACTTCCATATCCACTGATTCGGCACCCATGATTTCAGTTATCCACGGTTTACTGTGGCCCAAAATACCTCTTAATTTTGCATAATAATGGCTCCAAGGTGCAAAAGTAGAAAAGCTGGCAGTTCTTCAGAGTGCTTCCCATCAGTGAAGTGATAATTCTCCACTTATTATGCATAATTTATCAATTAAACTTTATAATAGGCATGTATAGGGCTTATATATAGAGTTTGCTACTATCCACGGTTTCGATATCCATGGCAGGTCCTTGGAACGTATTCCCCACGGATACAGGGATCTTACTGTACTTTTGTCATCAGAGGGACTGCTGGATAGCCACCTGATGGATGTCTTCCCACAGCATCATCCGGCATATGGAGTGGAGTGACCCAACTACCACCAGGAAACTGTTAAATTAGGCTGATAGTAATTCAGTTTTCTTCAGGCTATCAGCTGTATTTCACGTTATCATTGATTGTCATTATATTCACAAAGTGCTCTCAACACGTTCAGGTCACAGTATCAAAACACTGAAGGGAGCTATCAGCTAAGGGCAGCATACCCTTAGCTGATAGCTCATTAACTAATGAACCAACAAGCAAAGTTAGAGTTGGCATAATAAATAAAATTTAATATAAGGTGAATTTCCCACACAAAAAAAGGAAATAATCTCCATGAAAAAGACCAAAATAAAAGAGACAAAGGAATAATATAATTAAGAGCAAAACCTGAAAGGGTCATATAGCACAGCATGGAGGGACGTGCTGAAGAAGGAATATGTGAAGGTTATGAGAGTGTGAGGGACTAGTGTGTGCAAGGATAAGGTAAAGGAAGCAGGGGAGAGTGCAAGAGGCAAATTAAAATGAAAGTTGGTACAAGAAGTTAGTTTCTGTTATTATTATAATGATAACTAAGCACTAAACCCTAGTTTCTGTTAGAAAGTCAATGAGATTCTGCATCAAAGGTGGGATTATCAGCAAGGAAGAGTAGATGAATGGTTCAGAGAACCGACATGTTGATGTCAGTAAGAGTAAGTGCAAGGAAGGAGTGAAAAGTATTTAGATTTGATCCAAGGATGGGGAGAAAACTTTAAATTCCTTGGATTAGAAGCCCCTTCCCTATAACAAGGACCTCTCCACCTAGAAAGGATTTTCACGTACAAACTTACTATTTGCAACTTATTTACTCTATCACAAGGGCACAAATTATAATTTAACCCTTTGACTGTCGCGGCCGTATATATACGTTTGTGAGGTACCGTGTTTGACGTATATATACTCATAAATTCTAGCGGCTTCAAATCAGGCAGGAGAAAGCTAGTAGGCCCACATGTGAGAGAATGGGTCTGTGTGGTCAGTGTGCACCACATAAAAAAAATCCTGGAGCACGCAGTGCATAATGAGAAAAAAAAAACTCCGACCGTTTTTTTTAATTAAAATGCCGACTTTGTGGTCTATTTTCGTATAGTATTTGTGGTTGTATTCTCGTTTTCTTGGTCTCATTTGATAGAATGGAAACTATATTATAGAAATGGAGGTGATTTTGATTAATTTTACTATAAAAAGAACCTGGAAATGGAGCACAAAGTACAGGAAATGTTTGATTTTTGCCGATGTTCAAAAGTAAACAAATGATGTCATTGTCCAATAAATGTCCAAATAGCCATTCTAATACGCAGTCATGAATGGGTTGATGTAATTTTTACAATTATTAAAGTATTGCAGTAGTCTGCATAACAGTAAATCTTCTATTTTTTGTTTGAATAAAATTTCAAAATAAAAAGCAAGAGTAATATCACAGGGACCTGGAGACATGACTGATGAACAAAGAAAATCTTATTTTAGAGCCAGGAATGTCTGCATTGTTCATTCTGGACCTTATTTTGAAATTGTCGTATTTTTTAATTTTCGTGAAATTGGCCAAATTGCAAATTTCTGACCATGTTACTGGGTAGTTGAAATCGGTAAATGGGCAGTTTCTTGTGCTCAATCGATAGAAAAAATAGAGTTCTGAAGAAATAGTTATGAGTTTGGTTGACTGGAATAACGGAATTAGCCGAAAATAGGGCTCAAAGTGGGCGAAATTGCCGATTTTTAAATATCGCCGAAGTCGCTAACTTCGCGAGAGCATAATTCCGTCAGTTTTCCATCAAATTTCGTTTTTTTGGTGTCTTTACAATCGGGAAAAGATTCTCTATCATTTCATAAGAAAAAATAATTTTTTATTTTTTCGAATATTTTGCGACACCAGGAGCAACTTCAGGATTGGGCCCTTCGACAGTCAAAGGGTTAAAGATTCATACTTCACTAAGTAACCACTGATGAAGCCTTCAAACCTACCACCTGTTCATAAACTGCCAGCAATTAAGTCATGACATTAAGATGCAGCTGGGCAGACCAACACGTCATAAGCTTCCTCTGTTAAGTGCCAGCTGTTTGTAAATTGTTCCAGCCACAGTTGTGTGTCTTTTATTTGTCATATGGTTCATGTGAAGGCTTCGTAATTTACATTACGTTCAGAACTACTATAGATAAAAATATCTGAAGTTTTTATTGTTTATATCATGTTCAAAACTACTGTAGATAAAAATATTTGAAGGGTTCATTATTTACATTATGTTTAAAACAACTGTAGATAAAAATATGTAACAGGACATCGATATATAACAGACTTCTCTGTTCAGTTCCAATACTAGGAATCACTAGTACTTGTAAAACCTCACAATGTTTGCTGCATCTGAACACAAGGTACATGCTGAAAAATTCCTAGCAATAAAAAAATATGAACACAAAAAATCTCTTCACCAATCTTATTTTGCATCTCTCAATAAAATATTTTAAAATAAAGAAATAATCAAGATATATTTAGAGACAGGTGACTAAAATAGCAAGAGAGCACTTTCACAGACTCAGTTAAAATGGCAAGTGTTAGTTGCATTTCAATGTGTAAATAAAGAGTTCTATCCTAGTTATTTTCAGTTCTACTTGTTGTTTTCCTTTCTAAGAAAAAGATGAATTGAAATCCTAGAAAATCATTACTCCCCATGTGCCTTTACTTGCGAGTAAATTAAGCAGTTTCCATTTGTCTCCAGTGCCGACCAAAACTAACTTGCACGATTACCAGCGTTTCCTCTGACGCTTCCTTCTCTTTTTCTTTGCTGCCAAATCTGTTTTGTGGTCGAAAAATAAAATATTAGACAAACAAATAAGAGAGAAAAAAGGAATTAAAACAGGAAATAATAATAATGGCAAACACCACTATAAAGTAATAACAATCACCAGTGTAAAGCAATAACAATCACCACTGTAAAGTAATAACAATCACCACTGCAAAGTAATAACAAGCACCACTGTAAAGTAATAACAATCACCACTGTAAAGTAATAACAATCACCACTGCAAAGTAATAACAAGCACCACTGTAAAGTAATAACAATCACCACTGCAAAGTAATAACAAGCACCACTGTAAATAATAAACAATCACCACTGTAAAGTAATAACAACACCACTGTAAAGTAATAACAATCACCACTGCAAAGTAATAACAAGCACCATTGTAAAGTAATAACAATCACCACTGTAAGGTAATAGATAAAATTTAAACTCCTTAAGATAGACTAAACTAAACACCACCACAGAAAAATAATTGCTGTGGATATTTTTACTGAAGAAACACATGAGAGGTGTTGCAGAAGGCTGTACTGAGGCAGCACTTCTAGCTCTACAGAGTTTCGTCAAGTCACAAATCAATGTTTCATATTACATATAGTATACAATACAGGAGGCTTCCCTCATATTAGGCAATCTCTTTTCGGTGTTCCACGTTTTTGCTGGCTTCCAACTGAGCCACTGTTCACCGTGTTCGGTGCTTTTCCACAAAATAGTTGTGTAAAGGAAGGGAACATGCTACCATGTTTAAAGTAAGTACAATACCCTGTATATTTACTTAACAGTATCACTACTGCAGCACGTAATAAAGCACCATGTAAAGTAAAACATCACCAACGTTTCAGATGCATCTAATAAAAATCTACCACCCGCGCAATTTAACGCTTACGCATGTGTCAGGTAACCTAGAGCAATACACCAAGCCTCCTGTCTAACAATGATAAATAGACACACATTAAAAAATAAAGAAAACCATGTAAATAAAAAACAAGCACACTTGAAAAGGTTCATAAAAGCTCACCATAGACAGAGTTTAACAACACACATTTAAAACTTCAACTTTAGCAACACCACTAAATAATAGATACAAATTAAATTCTCTATATGTATTTGTTACAATACTAAAATTCTACAAGAATTTGTAAATAATGCCTTTTAGACTGTAGGTAATATTGTTTCTGTCTATGTAGTTAAACACTTAGAGTAGTTAGTAAGTAGTAGTACAAGTTACTTCCATCTAGCTTAGTGTAATAGTATACAAGTACCTTCCATCTATCTTAGTGTTAGTAGTAGTACAAGTTACAACTTCCATCTAGCTTAGTGTATAGTAGTACAAGTACTCCATCTAGCTTGTGTAAGTATATACAAGTTACCTTCCATCTAGCTTAGTTAAATAGTAGACAAGTTACCTTCCATCTAGCTTAGTGTAAGTAGTAGTACAAGTTACCTTCCATCTAGCTTAGTGTAAGTAGTAGTACAAGTTACCTTCCATCTAGCTAGTTGTAAGTAGTAGTACAAGCTACCTCATCTAGCTTAGTGAAAGTAGTAGTACTAGTTACCTTCCATCTAGTTAGTGTAAGTAGTAGTACAATTTACCTTCCATCTAGCTTAGTGTAAGTAGTAGTACAAGTTACCTTCCATCTAGCTTAGTGTTAGAAGTACAAGTTACCTTCCATCTAGCTTAGTGTAAGTAGTAGTACAAGTTACCTTCCATCTAGCTTAGTGTTAGAAGTACAAGTTACCTTCCATCTAGCTTAGTGTAAGTAGTAGTACAAGTTACCTTCCATCTACTAGTGTAAGTAGTATACAAGTTACCTTCCATCTAAGCTTAGTGTTAGAAGTACAATTACCTTCCATCTAGCTTAGTAAGTAGTAGTACAATACCACAAACATCTAGCTTAGTGTAAGAAGTACAAGTTACCTCCATCTAGCTTATGTAAGTAGTATACAAGTTACCTTCCATCTAAGCTTAGTGTATATAGTACAAGTTACCTTCCATCTAGCTATGTTAGAAGTACAATTACCTTCCATCTATTAGTGTTAAGTAGTGTACAATGTTACCTTCCATCTACTTAGTTTAGAAGTAAGTTACCTTCCATTACTTGTGTAATATAGTACAAGTTACCTTCATTAGCTTATGTAGAGTAGACAAGTTACCTTCCTCTACTTAGTGTTATAGTATACAATTACCTTCCATCTAGCTTAGTGTAAGTAGTAGTACAAGTTACTTCCATCTAGCTTAGTGTAAGTAGTAGTACAAGTTACCTTCCATCTAGCTTAGTGTAAGTAGTAGTACAAGTTACCTTCCATCTAGCTTAGTGTAAAGTAGTAGTACAAGTTACCTTCCATCTAGCTTAGTGAAAGTAGTAGTACAAGTTACCTTCCATCTAGCTTAGTGTAAAGTAGTAGTACAAGTTACCTTCCATCTAGCTTAGTGTAAGTAGTAGTACAAGTTACCTTCCATCTAGCTTAGTGAAAGTAGTAGTACAAGTTACCTTCCATCTAGCTTAGTGTAAGTAGTAGTACAAGTTACCTTCCATCTAGCTTAGTGTAAGTAGTAGTACAAGTTACCTTCCATCTAGCTTAGTGTAAGTAGTAGTACAAGTTACCTTCCATCTAGCTTAGTGTAAGTAGTAGTACAAGTTACCTTCCATCTAGCTTAGTGTAAGTAGAGTACAAGTTACCTTCCATCTAGCTTAGTGAAAGTAGTAAACAAGTTACCTTCCATCTAGCTTAGTGTAAGTAGTAAGTACAAGTTACCTTCCATCTAGCTTAGTGAAAGTAGTACAAGTTACCTTCCATCTAGCTTAGTGAAAGTAGTAATACAAGTTTCCTTCCATCTAGCTTAGTGTAAGTAGTAGTACAAGTTACCTTCCATCTAGCTTAGTGTTAGTAGTAGTACAAGTTACCTTCCATCTAGCTTAGTGATATAGTAGTAGTACAAGTTACCTTCCATCTAGCTTAGTGTAAGTAGTAGTACAAGTTACCTTCCATCTAGCTTAGTGTTAGTAGTAGTACAAGTTACCTTCCATCTAGCTTAGAGTTAGTAGTAGTACAAGTTACCTTCCATCTAGCTTAGTGAAAGTAGTAGTACAAGTTACCTTCCATCTAGCTTAGTGTAAGTAGTAGTACAAGTTACCTTCCATCTAGCTTAGTGTAAGTAGTAGTACAAGTTACCTTCCATCTAGCTTAGTGATTAGTAGTAGTACAAGTTACCTTCCATCTAGCTTATGAAAGTAGTAATACAGTACCTTCCATCTAGCTTAGTGAAAGTATATACAAGTTACCTTCCATCTAGCTTAGTGAAAGTAGTAATACAAGTTACCTTCCATCTAGCTTAGTGAAAGTAGTAATACAAGTTACCTTCCATCTAGCTTAGTGAAAGTAGTAATACAAGTTACCTTCCATCTAGCTTAGTGAAAGTAGTACAAGTTACCTTCCATCTAGCTTAGTGAAAGTAGTAATACAAGTTTCCTTCCATCTAGCTTAGTGTAAGTAGTAGTACAAGTTACCTTCCATCTAGCTTAGTGTAAGTAGTAGTACAAGTTACCTTCCATCTAGCTTAGCGTTAGTAGTAGTACAAGTTACCTTCCATCTAGCTTAGTGTAAGTAGTAGTACAAGTTACCTTCCATCTAGCTTAGTGTAAGTAGTAGTACAAGTTACCTTCCATCTAGCTTAGTGAAAGTAGTAGTACAAGTTACCTTCCATCTAGCTTAGTGAAAGTAGTACAAGTTACCTTCCATCTAGCTTAGTGTAAGTAGAAGTACAAGTTACCTTCCATCTAGCTTAGTGAAAGTAGTAGTACAAGTTACCTTCCATCTAGCTTAGTGTAAGTAGTAGTACAAGTTACCTTCCATCTAGCTTAGTGTAAGTAGTAGTACAAGTTACCTTCCATCTAGCTTAGTGAAAGTAGTAGTACAAGTTACCTTCCATCTAGCTTAGTGAAAGTAGTAGTACAAGTTACCTTCCATCTAGCTTAGTGTAAAGTAAGAAGTACAAGTTACCTTCCATCTAGCTTAGTGTAAGTAGTAGTACAAGTTACCTTCCATCTAGCTTAGTGAAAGTAGTAGTACAAGTTACCTTCCATCTAGCTTAGTGAAAGTAGTAATACAAGTTACCTTCCATCTAGCTTAGTGTAATAGAAGTACAAGTTACCTTCCATCTAGCTTAGTGTAAGTATAGTACAAGTTACCTTCCATCTAGCTTAGTGAAAGTAGTAGTACAAGTTACCTTCCATCTAGCTTAGTGTAAGTAGTAGTACAAGTTACCTTCCATCTAGCTTAGTGAAAGTAGTAGTACAAGTTACCTTCCATCTAGCTTAGTGTAAGTAGTAGTACAAGTTACCTTCCATCTAGCTTAGTGTAAGTAGTAGTACAAGTTACCTTCCATCTAGCTTAGTGAAAGTAGTAGTACAAGTTACCTTCCATCTAGCTTAGTGAAAGTAGTACAAGTTACCTTCCATCTAGCTTAGTGAAAGTAGTAGTACAAGTTACCTTCCATCTAGCTTAGTGAAAGTAGTAGTACAAGTTACCTTCCATCTAGCTTAGTGTAAGTAGAAGTACAAGTTACCTTCCATCTAGCTTAGTGTTAGTAGTAGTACAAGTTAAGTTGTGTTATGCAGGGTTCTGCATGACACTATAATATATATACAGTAGGGAAGGGTACCATAATAGTATGAATGTTATAATTGTAAAGCATAATTTTATAATTCATAATGTGCATTTGAGGGTACTGTAAAGTAGTTCTAATGTAATTTGTAAGGAAATCCGCCAAAGATTTTCCTACAGTGTTGGGTAAGCGGGTAAGCGTGGCTTGGGGGTAGTCACGCGGAGTCGGCATGGCCTGGAGGCTGGCGTCAGAGATGCTGTGTATTTAACCCTTTGAGGGTTTCGGCCGTACTACTATGGCTTACGACCCAGGGTTTTTGACGTACTAGTACGCCTAAATTCTAGCGCCCTCAAATCTAGTGGGAGAAATCTGGTAGGCCTACATATGAAAGAATGGGTCTATGTGGTCAGTGTGCACAGTATAAAAAAAATCCTGCAGCACACAGTGCATAATGAGAAAAAAAAACTTTGATTGTTTTTTTGGAATAAAACAGCGACTTTGCACTGTATTTTCGTATGGTATTTAATGTTGTATTCTAGTTTTCTTGGTCTCATTTTATAGAATGGAAGACATATTACAGAAATTGAGATGATTTTGACTGGTTTTACAATAAAAAGTACCTTGAAATTGAGCTGAAAGTAGCAGAAATGTTCGATTTTTACCAAAGTTCAAAAGTAAACAAATCATGCCAAGCGTCCAATACACATCAACTGGTGAGTCTAATATTCTTTCATAAGTGCACCAATATTATTTATACCATTTTTTACACTAATGCAGTAGTCTGCATAACAGCAAATCTTCTATTTTTTGTGAGAATAAAAATTCAAAGTGGAAAGCAAAAGAATATAAGAGGGGCCTTGAGACGTGACTAATGAACAGAGGAAATGTTATTTTAGTGTCAGGAATGTCTTTCTTGTTTATTCTGGACTCTACTCGGAAATTGGCATCTTTTGAATTTGTGTGAAATTGGCAAAATTGCTAAATTCTGACCACTGTACTGGATAGTTAAAATTGATAAATGGGTGGTTTCTTGCACTCATTCGATAGAAAAAGTGGAGTTCTAGAGAAATATTCATGTTTTTTGCCGACTAGTACAGCGGAATTGGCCAAAAATGGGGCTCAAAGTGGGCAAAATCGCCGATGCGTAAACATCGCCGAGACCGCTAACTTCGCGAGAGCATAATTCCGTAAGTTTTCCATCAAATTTCAAACTTTTGGTGTCATTATGATCGGGAAAAGATTCTCTATCTTTTCATAAGAGAATTTTTTTTTTTTTAAATTTGGCTGACAATGAGAACGAGTCTCAGAGAGGGCCTGTCGACCCTCAAAGGGTTAAGCTAAGTTTTGTTGTTGTGTACTCCTTTTGTTTAGTTAACTCAAGCCATAGGCTCTTCTATGGTTTACCTGTATGCCCACTTAGGCTCTGACATGGTCAAGGTGCTGTGGAATGAGTGAGGAAATAAGAAATGGGGTTGGTATTGGAGTAGTGAAGGCTGGGCGCTAGCCAGGCCGAGGTTATGGTTTGCTGGACCTCTAGTCGCCTGTTTCTTGTGTACTGTCATTTGGGCATTTAGGATAGAAGATATATGAAGGCATTTTCTAGAGTGTGTATATAGTGTTATGTTGAATAAATAGATATATTTTCCTAACTAGGATTTTTGCCTAACCCTCTGTTAACCAACCCATTGAAGTACAAATGCTGGTTTAGCGCTTTCTGTTTTGACTGGGATAGCCCTGGGTGGCCTCTTTATGTTTGAGATGTGTGTAACTTTTACCTTTGTCCCTAGACAAGGTTCTAGCACCCAGCTGTCCCACCGTTCTATGTAACACCTTCCATCTAGCTTACTGTATGTAGTTGTAAACGCTGTCTTCCATCTAGATTACTCAGTGTAAGTAGTAGTACAGGCTTTATCTTCTATTTGGTAAATGCAAGATAGAGATGCTACCGAATAAACACCCCATAGACACACTAGCATTTCAAACCAAAAATAACAAAAAGGCACAATTCCGTCCAAGTCAGACCGAAACGTCGTCATGAGCTCTTCTCTCCTATGTACGGGTTATTTGTGTACATTTCAAACCACTTTTCTGGACTCCACGTTGAGGTACAAAAGTTATTACTGTACAACAATGAGAATCCAAATAAACATTTTATTTATAAAAATGATTCAGGAATATGAGTAGTACATAGATGTGTGTAAATACAGTTCCTCTCCTCCATCCCTACAAAACTTCATTATTACAAATTACAAGCTAAAGCTTATGTACAGGTGCATGCACAAACACGTACGGTATGTCAATATATGCAAATGCCCAATAATTTCCAGTGCCATATCCTATGATCAAAACTTCATCTTACTATTAACTGAAGCAAGTGGTTGAGTCTCTCCACGACAACGCTTGGACGAGGACAATGCTGTCTGGGCTTCACTTCCATGGTCCATTTCTTTCTGTTCTGTGCTCCCAAACTCTGGAAAATAAAAACTAAATTACACAACAATGGATTCAACAAGACACTGATACTGTGCTTAGCACCTTCATCATGCAAATGTACAGATGCTAAATTTTTTTTATAATATACATCACAATAAATAAATTAGCTGGAATGCCCCATATATGCAAAGAAAAGGAAAATATCCACTTTTTCTGGTATTAGTTCCTCAGGATCATTTCCCTCACTGACCACTTGCAGCCCAGATCTAGTAAACCAGAAAGGAAACATTACAGGAATAAAACTTGTAAGAAACACACAGGAATAAAACTTGTAGACACACACAGGAAAGTGAAGACAAGAGTATACTGAAGATATGAAGAAGTCTAAGATTGTTACAAAAAACGCGATTCTAAAAGCTTAGAGATCTCCAGTGAATACTAGAAAGGACTGCCCTTCTAGCATCCAGCCTGTTACTGGGTTTTCGTAACAAGTAGTCAGTATCCTTGTCCAATTATCCATTAAAATTCAGTATGGTTCAATAGTGCTTTAGGATTACAACTGGTAGGCTACTAACTAGAGAAATTAAAATTTAATAAATTTATTAAGTAGTAAGTTGTCTAGAGGTATATTATCAAATTAAATTAATTACAGCAATCAAAATAAAATCAATCTCTCGAGTTCAATATTATTGTGCTGAAAGCACATATCACATTTATAATTCTTAAGTACCGTCAGGTACATTAACATTTAATAAGATATTATAAATATGTACAAGTGTGTGTATGCGTATAAGTGCTCTTAAGTAGTTAGCTGTGTCTCAAGACTCGAATTAGACTTAAACAAGTGACTGACAAAGTCCTCAAATAAACTAACTTCTTGACCGACTGGCAACCCGAACAGTCTGCTTGAACAACAAAGAATGCTAAGCCCAATAGCAATGCAATATCAAGCGACTGCGACACAGAATCAGGAACAAGGAGACAATATAACGACACTAAGTAGGGACCATCTGCAGATCCTCCACAAAAGTTACAAAACTCCCATAATACTGAATCTTTGTTCAGCATAGGTAAAACTGTGACTGTGACAATACACAGGAACCAGTACAAAATTAGGTCAGAAGCTATAGCTAAGGACCTGAGATACTCAGAGTGTCTATGTGACACACAACCTCAGTACAACGTCGAAAATCACAAAGTCTTTACAATGTTCTGTGAACAAAGTTCTACAGAACTAACAAGAATAATGAGACAGACAATCTGTCCAACCAGCAAGCGAGTCTCCAGCAGACTGAATACTTCACACGAGGTGAGGACACCCCCCCCTCGATCACGTGATAGCTACGTGGACAGCTGCAGCTCAGAAGCCGGCAGTATAACGAGCGACAAGCGATAATTACAGTCGTTTGACAATCAAGCCTAACTGAGCACATTTTATATACATCCTAACAACATAAGCTAAATAACAATATAACAGTCAAATAATAATATAAAGTCATACATTTACGATTTAGCTATTATCGCAAATATAAGCAATATAAAATTAAATGAAAAGGTAATATACATTATATATACATAATCATTGTAACCCATTCGATAGAAAAAGTGGAGTTCTAGAGAAATATTCATGTTTTTTGCCGACTAGTACAGCGGAATTGGCCAAAAATGGGGCTCAAAGTGGGCAAAATCGCCGATGCGTAAACATCGCCGAGACCGCTAACTTCGCGAGAGCATAATTCCGTAAGTTTTCCATCAAATTTCAAACTTTTGGTGTCATTATGATCGGGAAAAGATTCTCTATCTTTTCATAAGAGAATTTTTTTTTTTTTTAAATTTGGCTGACAATGAGAACGAGTCTCAGAGAGGGCCTGTCGACCCTCAAAGGGTTAAGCTAAGTTTTGTTGTTGTGTACTCCTTTTGTTTAGTTAACTCAAGCCATAGGCTCTTCTATGGTTTACCTGTATGCCCACTTAGGCTCTGACATGGTCAAGGTGCTGTGGAATGAGTGAGGAAATAAGAAATGGGGTTGGTATTGGAGTAGTGAAGGCTGGGCGCTAGCCAGGCCGAGGTTATGGTTTGCTGGACCTCTAGTCGCCTGTTTCTTGTGTACTGTCATTTGGGCATTTAGGATAGAAGATATATGAAGGCATTTTCTAGAGTGTGTATATAGTGTTATGTTGAATAAATAGATATATTTTCCTAACTTTAAGTAGTAGGTTGGTAGACAGCAACCGCCCAGGGAGGTACTACCGTCCTGCCAAGTGAGTGTAAAACGAAAGCCTGTAATTGTTTTACATGATGGTAGGATTGCTGGTGTCCTTTTTCTGTCTCATGAACATGCAAGATTTCAGGTACGTCTTGCTACTTCTACTCACACTTAGGTCACACTACACATACATGTACAAGCACATATATACACACACCCCTCTGGGTTTTCTTCTATTTTCTTTCTAGTTCTTATTCTTGTTTATTTCCTCTTATCTCCATGGGGAAGTGGAACAGAATTCTTCCTCCGTAAGCCATGCGTGTTGTAAGAGGCGACTAAAATGCCAGGAGCAAGGGGCTAGTAACCTCTTCTCCTGTATATATTACTAAATGTAAAAGGAGAAACTTTCGTTTTTCCTTTTGGGCCACCCCGCCTCGGTGGGATACGGCCGGTGTGTTGAAAGAAAGAAATTTTCCTAACTAGGATTTTTGCCTAACCCTCTGTTAACCAACCCATTGAAGTACAAATGCTGGTTTAGCGCTTTCTGTTTGACTGGGATAGCCCTGGGTGGCCTCTTTATGTTTGAGATGTGTGTAACTTTACCTTTGTCCCTAGACAAGGTTCTAGCACCCAGCTGTCCCACCGTTCTATGTAACACCTTCCATCTAGCTTACTGTATGTAGTTGTAAACGCTGTCTTCCATCAGATTACTCAGTGTAAGTAGTAGTACAGGCTTTATCTTCTATTTGGTAAATGCAAGATAGAGATGCTACCGAATAAACACCCCATAGACACACTAGCATTTCAAACCAAAAATAACAAAAAGGCACAATTCCGTCCAAGTCAGACCGAAACGTCGTCATGAGCTCTTCTCTCCTATGTACGGGTTATTTGTGTACATTTCAAACCACTTTTCTGGACTCCACGTTGAGGTACAAAAGTTATTACTGTACAACAATGAGAATCCAAATAAACATTTTATTTATAAAAATGATTCAGGAATATGAGTAGTACATAGATGTGCGTAAATACAGTTCCTCTCCTCCATCCCTACAAAACTTCATTATTACAAATTACAAGCTAAAGCTTATGTACAGGTGCATGCACAAACACGTACGGTATGTCAATATATGCAAATGCCCAATAATTTCCAGTGCCATATCCTATGATCAAAACTTCATCTTACTATTAACTGAAGCAAGTGGTTGAGTCTCTCCACGACAACGCTTGGACGAGGACAATGCTGTCTGGGCTTCACTTCCATGGTCCATTTCTTTCTGTTCTGTGCTCCCAAACTCTGGAAAATAAAAACTAAATTACACAACAATGGATTCAACAAGACACTGATACTGTGCTTAGCACCTTCATCATGCAAATGTACAGATGCTAAATTTTTTTATAATATACATCACAATAAATAAATTAGCTGGAATGCCCCATATATGCAAAGAAAAGGAAAATATCCACTTTTTCTGGTATTAGTTCCTCAGGATCATTTCCCTCACTGACCACTTGCAGACCAGATCTAGTAAACCAGAAAGGAAACATTACAGGAATAAAACTTGTAAGAAACACACAGGAATAAAACTTGTAGACACACACAGGAAAGTGAAGACAAGAGTATACTGAAGATATGAAGAAGTCTAAGATTAACCTACCATCTTACATATTCACTAGTTAAAAGAAACACCCAGAAATCCTGCCAGTGAAAAATATTTAACACTACATTTCACAGAGGAAAGGACAGCAGTACCACTTTAGATGGTTTGTTTACCAACCTACTACTGTACATTAGTGTGGGTGAAAGGGGGGCAAACAATGAAACATTTCTGAATGGATGCAGGGAAACCAGTTAGCCAGACTTGACTCCTGGAAGTGAGAAGTACAGTGTCTGTACTCTGGAGGAGAGAGGATACTTCAGTTTGGAGACCATCTGATATCAGCACATTTCTGGTAAGACACAGATTGAGTGAATGATGGTGAATGTATTGCCTCACTTTTGGGTCACCATTCCTCAGTGGAGAACTGATGGTGTACCTAAAAAAAAAAAAAAGTGTTATATGCAAACAATGACTCTTGTGGGTTTAGCACTTAGTTTTGATTGTAATAATAGTACAAGCCAACAATGGAATGATGGAAGGAACACTGATAAGGATTATTATAATTGTAGGAGAGCACTAAACTCCTACCAGCCATACAGTATCTGGAAAATGGGAGGTGATCAAATTTGATTCAGAGATGGGAAAGAAAGCTCCAGTTTCTCAAAAAAGCTCTTCACCCGCATCCAAGGGGTTAAGATTAGATGCAAAGACAAAACTGACCAATAAAATTGTAAGCAGAGGTGTAGAGATGCCTAGTCTGGCACCAGGTCATTCAAGTCATGATGATCAATGGAGAATAAACACCTGCAGAGAATAAACATCTTATGACAATATTGTGGTCCATCCTGGACCACTGTCAAGTCTCAACTGACAATATAACAGTGGTTCATCCTGATAAGATAAGATTTCGTTCGGATTTTTAACCCCGGAGGGTTAGCCACCCAGGATAACCCAAGAAAGTCAGTGCGTCATCGAGGACTGTCTAACTTATTTCCATTGGGGTCCTTAATCTTGTCCCCCAGGATGCGACCCACACCAGTCGACTAACACCCAGGTACCTATTTGCTGCTAGGTGAACAGGACAATAGGTGTAAGGAAACGTGTCGGAATTTCCACCCGCCGGGAATCGAGCCCGGGCCCTCCGTGTGTGAAGCGGGAGTTTTAGCCACCAGACCACCGGGCCATCATCAAGTCTCAAATGACAATATAACAGTGGTTCATCCTGGACCATTGTCAAGTCTCAACTGACAATATAACAGTGGTTCATCCTGGACCATCGTCAAGTCTCAAATGACAATATAACAGTGGTTCATCCTGGACCATTGTCAAGTCTCGAATGACAATATAACAGTGGTTCACAATGAACTGAAATGTTGTCATAAGCTTCCTCTGCTAAGTGCAGGTTTTTGGTGGATGATCCCTTAAGCCATACACAGGTAAATCACAGATGGATTAGATGCAGTGATGAAACTGAAGGCTTTCCTCTAAAGTGTCCACAAAAAATTTGAGAAGTAAATCATACCAAATGTGAGAACAGAGGCCTAAACAAGAACTAATGAGTTATGTATAGCTGAAGTGAGAAATTTCCAACTTTGAGAACACTTCTGGCAACTGCAAAAATTTGCATTAGCTTTGATTTAGCACTGTTCACTGTCTTGTGAGAGAGACTGCACAACCAAATTTTGATTCTAAAAAAAAAGACAACGTTACCTTTCCCTGCACACTGATCCTCATCATCACTATCAATAGTAATGACTTCAATCGCCCTCTTTTTAGTGATTCTCTGAGATTTCTCCGATTCATCTTGCTGGTCACCGACTAGAACTGGAGTCCACGTACCATCCTCCTTGAGCGACACTCTTGTACAAGTCTGTGCTTCTTCCAACACCTTCTGAAAATACCTGCAGATACAGAATAATTGGTAAAATGAAGAATAAATAATCTAATATTTTAATGTTGAAAATCAAAAGAGCAAAGTTGGCAAACTTACATAAATGTTTAAAATTAATGCATGAATGATGGTCTCCCCATCGTATATGGTAGAGTAAATAGAGGTGATGCGACTTTTAAAAGTGCCGGGAGGTTAATCCATTACCACATTGTCTACAGTGGTGCTAGTACAACGAAACTTACAAATTATGCCGTAACGTGAAAGGCAAGTTTTTCTACAATGGTGTTATATGAAGACAACAATTATAATCAGACCCACTAAATCTACAATAAACTGAAAAATATTGGCAATCACTACCTGTGTGTTAAAAGTAATATACAAATACCCCAGCCATATAACTTCTGGAACAACACAAATTCTTAACAAAAACTTTTGACAAATTATGTACTTATCTCACACTACATCTTGTGAACCAAAATTATAAAGCATGACCAACCTACATTATGAAAAGTACACTTTATTAGTACAATACCACAGTCCATTATCCAACTGTTTAGCACCATACATTAAAATGCTTCTTTTTTTTTCTCACCCATCAATAACAAGACTGGGGAAGAGTGCCGGAGAATTACACACAGGACAAATCCAATTTGATTTTAGTTCATTCACCCGAAAGTAGACAATAGCATCAAAGACCTGTATATGGTGGCACGACGTAGCTCGACAGGGAACTACTATCCTGGTCATGGATAGCGGGCACATCAGAGAACACTGGATAATTGTTGCTGTTGTGTCCTCACTCAGTGTCTCTCCCCTTAACTGTTTCTTGACTGGTGAGGATAAACTATATTAATATACCTGCATTTTGTATGAATTTTATCCTTTACTCATAATACAGTCAACTCTTAGGAAGCTCCTCTATATTGTGTAAGTTTCTGTGAGTGCAGTTGAAGTGGGTTGAAAATTGAATAGCATGTATTATGAAGGCCTTCTCACATGCTCTTCAGTTTTTAATGTATTTTTTTCAGTTGCACTTATGAAAAATTATATATACAGGAGCTTTGTGAGAGAGCTGACATTTAACATTTAATCATAAATGATTAAATATATTTAATACATATTTAACTGGTCATAAAATCAGGAATAATGTTTAAAACAGAAGACTAGAGCAAATATTTAAATTCAGCCTTTACGAACATCTGCACTAGTCAGTAGCATATTCCAGGAAATTATCTATCCCTTCTTAAAAGAGCAGTGTGTCTTGTCTTTAATCATTTTCCTGCCAACAACAAAAGATTTAAAATTAGAGAGAGCCAGGTATCAAAAATTCTAACAATGTGATAAAGTAGAAACGCAACTAGCCGGAGCAACTGCTATGTCATGCTGGCCTGAGACTTCTTAAGGAGTTGCTAAAATATCTATTTCATTAATTACAATTTTTAATTTGATACCCAATCATGCAACAATTGGGTATTTTTATTGCTGAAACATTTCGTCGACACAGTAGGCTTCTTCAGTCACATACAGAGGCAGCAGATGTAGTAGCAAAGTAAAGATGAGGTAATCAGTCCCTCAACCTTGGAGAAATTGTATTTGAGGTGGTCAGTCCCTCAGCCTGGAGAAGAGATCAGATCAAATATTATTTCCCCAAGCTTGTTGGACTGATTACAACATCATTTCACTACTACACTTGCTGCCTCTGTATCTGACTGAAGGAGCCTACTGTGTAGGTGAAACATTTCAACAATAATGATACCAACTGTTGCACATGCATCTTACTCATCAACTTGTTGGCATTTTATACCATTCTGAAGAAGTTATAACTTAATGAGCCACTACAGTTACTAGGTAGTCATCAATTACTGTTATTAGAGTCATCACTTGCATCAATGTTCATTAACACATTAGCTCCATCAGTTACTGTTATTACAGTCATCACTTGCATCAATGTTCATTAACACATTAGCTCCATCAGTTACTGTTATTACAGTCATCACTTGCATCAACGTTCATCAACACATTAGCCCAAATACCTCGTAAAATATCCTGTCAACATTAACACAAATCAAAAATTAAGATAAAAAGTGATAAAGCCACAACCACAGATAAACTTCTCGTATCCAAACAATCACTTACTTAGGGTTTGGGTGTCTTGCATTGTTAAGGGTTTCTTGGTCTTTAGCTTTTCAATAAGGTTACTGACAGTAAGCTTTTTCACTAATGACACAGAAATTACATAGTAATTTCCAAGTCCTATACTGGATACCTAGAAAATATATATATATATATATTAGTACTGCCTTCCAAACACTGGCACAAGTAAAAATATATAGTACAATGTTAATACCAATTATCATTTGTAAGTCCGTACTCTATAACAACTGCTACATACAGTTTTTTTTTTCAACGCACTGGCTGTATTCCACTGAGGCAGGGTGGCCCAAAAAGAAAAACGAAAGTTTTTCTTTTTAAATTTAATAATACATACAGGAGAAAAGGTTACTAGCCCCTTGCTCCTGGCATTGTAGTCGCCTCTTACGACACGCATGGCTTATGGAAGAAGAATTCTGTTCCACCTCCCCATGGAGATAAGAGGAAATAAACAAGAACAAGAACTAGTAAGAAAATAGAAGAAAACCCAGAGGGGTATGTATATATATGCTTCTACATGCATGTGTAGTGTGACCTAAGTCTAAGTAGAAGTAGCAAGATGACCTGTACCTGAAATCTTGCATGTTTATGAGATAGAAAAAAGACACCGGCAATCCTACCATCATGTAAAACAATTACAGGCTTTCGTTTTACACTCACTTGGCAGGTCAGTAGTACCTCCCTGGGCAGTTGCTGTCTACCAACCTACTACCTAGGCTACATACAAATGTATTTAAATACGTACCGTATTTCGTAGCTTATAAGACACGGCTTATAATATTTGTTTTAGTTTCAATGACTCAGCACTGAATGTAACTGAGAGAGCTACAGCCCACTCCACACCCCAAACTTATAGCTCCCATCACTGACCTTTAGTTTATAGGATGCAGGGTGGTTTTTGGAGACATTTTATGGAAAAAATGCGTCTAATAAGCCGCAAAATATGGTAAATATACAAATAAATAAATAAACAGAATAAGAGTGAGTGGAACCATGTTATTTATGAAGGGATTCAGGGAAACTGGTTAGCTGGACTTGAGTGCTGGAGGTGGGATGTACAGTACCTGCACTCTGAAGGAGGGGTGGGGATGTTGTAGTGTGGAGGGTCAACTGAGCTGTAGTGTTGGTGCACTTCTGGCAAGATGGTGATGACATGAGTGATGGTTAAAGTCTCTTTATTTTGGATCATTCTACCTCGGAGGGAGATGGCCAGCACATTAAAAGTAATTATTTGTAAACATTTATAGCTCATCAGCCATCTCCTGCCAAGGTAGGCTGGCCCACAGAAGAAAACAAATTCATGAACATTCACTCATCACCATCTTTACAGATGTGTACTGACATAACAATCAAATTACCCCTCTGACTGCAACATTCACACCCCTCCTTCAGAGTGCAAACACTGCACTCTGAAGTAAAAGGAAATCAAAAGTGAACACAGGAATGAGCAAATGATAAAAATAACAAAAAATCTAGGTAATGAAGGACTGAGCATCAGATTCAAGAACTTAGGAAGTATGAAAAAGGTAACATGTGCTGGCATATAAGTTGACGTTTTAGTCACAAAAAGTTTCTCCAAAACTATGGGTCGAATAATACACTTTGTGTAAAAGTTGCTGATGAGTAATAGCAACAGGTAAGGACCATCAGTTTACAAGTAACAATGAATGAAAGAAGATCAGGAAAAATGTGAGGCTAAAAGTTGGCAACATATGACAACTGGTAAATAATGAAATGGCAGTTTAGTTAATTTAATATCTTTATTATGCACCCCATACCCATCCTGTGCACAGTCAAAAGATTACAGAGGTACATAATGGGTCCAGGGACTGGGCCCCAAAGTTTTGATAGCTGAACAAGTTACAAAGGTAATGAACCCAAGGTAGATCTGGTCACAATCATGACAAGATACAAAAGTAATGAACCATCTAAACGTCTATACATGGTTACAATCATGAACAAATTACAAAGTAACGAGCCATTCACACGTCCACACAATAAAATGGCAAAAATCAGAAGAATTGAAAATTTGAGGCAAGAATTGGTGAAAATAAAGAATAAAACAAACAAAATACAGAAAAAAATTAAAGTCGGAGAAAATAAGATGGACTACCTCCCAATATTTCCATATGGTCCAGGTCAGTCCACTCTCTCACCTTGACAGTCTGATGCAGGTGCAGCTGCACTATTTTTTATTATTTTTGGGGAGGAAGGGGGTTGACCTGTCTGGCAAATACAGGCCAAAACCTGAATTAACCCTTTGACTGTTTCAGGCCCCTTTCTGAAACTGTCATTCTATGTCGCTCAATTTTTGAAAAAAAAAAAAATTATTTTTTCTTATGAAATGATAGAGAATCTTTCCCCGATGGTAATGACACCAAAAGTTCGAAATTTGGTCGAAAACTCATGGAATTATGTTCCCGCGAAGTTAGCGGTCTCGGCGACATATGCATATCGGCGATTTTGCCGAATTTGAGCCCTATTTTCAGCCAATTCCATTGTTCCAGTTGACCAAACTCATAGCTATTTCTTTAGAACTCCATTTTATCTATCAGCTGAGTACAAGAAACCTCCCATTTACTAATTTGGACTACCCAATATGGTGGTCAGAAATTGGCAATTTGGCTAATTTCATGCAAACTAAAAAAGATGCCAATTTCAAAACAGGGTCCAGAATAAACAAGGTAGACATTCGTGGCACTAAAATAACATATGCTCTGTTCATTAGTCACATCTCTAGGCCCCTCTTATATTATTATTGCTTTCTATTTTGATTTTTTATTCATACAAAAAAATACAAAATTTACTGTTATGCAGACTACTGCATTATTGTAAAAATGGTATAAATAATATCAGTGCACTAGTGAAAGAATATTAGACTCCCCAGTTGACGTGTATTGGACGTGTGGTGTGATTTATTTACTCCTGAACATTGGTAAAAATCGAACATTTCCGCTACTTTGAGCTCAGTTTCAAAATCGTTTTCATCGTCAAAGTAATGAAAATCATCTCTATTTCTGTAATATGTTTTCCATTTTATCACCTAAGACCATGAAAACGCGAATACAACGATAAATACTATATGAAAATACACCTCAAAGTCGGCGTTTTATTCCAAAAAAACGATCAGATTTTTTTTTTTCTCAATACGCAATGTGTGCTGCAGGATTTTTTTTATGTGGTGCACACTGACCACACAGACTCATTCTCTCACATGTGGGCCTACCAGCTTTCTCCCGCTTGATTTGAAGCCGCTAGAATTATTGAGTATATATACGTCAGAAACATTGGCTCGTAAGACGTATTTATACATCGAAAACAGTCAAAGGGTTAAAATCTCAAAATTTAGGGGTTCATTTATACGATGGGTCAGCTTGTGACCCTACATGTTAAATGTATATGCAAGGTCAGTAGATGGGTTTATGAAAATGACCCATAGAACAGAGATGGGACAAAATGGTAGGTGGTGCACTAAGGCATTTGAGAAAAAACTTTATCCATGGATAAAAAAGGGAAAATAGAAGTACCAACACTTATATGAGGGTGATACACGAGTTTTGGAAGTTACAACAAGGAGGAGGCTGGAGACAATGTTGTTGTGTTTGAGGGCACTGTGTGGTGTGAATATAATGCAGAGAATTTGGAGTGTGGAGATCAAGAGTTGTGGAGTTACCAAGCATATAGTCAGGATAATATTAAGAAAAAACATGTATCATGCAGCAGCAACAAGCAGTACCTGTATAAGATTGAGTGCATCACACGTGATTTTACACAATGCCGTGATGTCCATCGGGAATGGGCCACCCTAGAGTACAGGTAAAATGATTATTAATAAATGGAGCCATTACAAGCAATTTTTTTAACACATCGGCCGTCTCCCACCGAGGCAGAGTGGCCCAAAAAAAGAAGAAATAAAAGTTTTTCTTCTTTTTACATATAGTAATTTATACAGAGAAGGGGTTACTAATCCCTTACTCCAAGCATTTTAGTCACCTCTTAAAACACGCATGGCTAACAGAGGAAGAATTCTTCTCCACTTCCTCATGGAGAATTACAGGTGTTATATTAATTTATCAACTCCATTCTAATTAAATAAGCTTAAACAGATATATTCAGTTGAGCCCAGAAATTTGTACTTCATAATCTGTGTGATTTAGTTATGGAACATTGATTCTGAAAGACATTTCACTGATAGGTTTGATTATCCACATTCTCTCTTACTCATTTTATTATTGCTTGGCACACAAGCCCTAAAATGATAATTAATTACAGTGAACCCTCAATTTAATGGACTAAGAGGGAGGACGTGGAATCTGTTAAAGCCAGCTACCTCTTGAACCTGAAATTATGAATTTGAATTTCCAGATCATAACATAAACCGACTACATATAAGTATCAGGATGCATCAGACTTAGGCCTGTGGTTTCAGATGGGACCAGAAAATATTATACAGATTACAACAATATTTGGAGAGATGACCAAAATGCATTTTTTTATTTTCTGAAATTGAGTTATGTACACAAGACATAAATTACTGTATGAAAAGCTTAAATCAGACATGCAAAATTTCATATCAAACGTGTTCTGAGGATGTGTGTCACCTGGAACCAAACTCATGTGAAGGTCAGATTTCTACTGTATATTCAAACCTTATAGGAAGCAATTAAATACATTATTTTTAGCCCACATCACTCATTACTCCACATTCAAGTTATCTGACATCTCTACCTGGGTTAACTTTTTCAATATTTATAAAAAATAACCTCCCTAGGTACAAACTTTCATATTCAAACTTTCTCCTCTGAAAGAGTTAAGAGACTTATCAGTTTCGTACATAAAGTCCTTACCTTAGTGTCAAGTTCTATTCCATTGACAAGGACCTTGAGTTCTGGGGGAAACTTGTCATCTTGTTCACCTGACAAATCCATCAAGCAGAACCTCAGCAAAATCTAATAAATGTGAATTAGTGCACTTAAATTTTACTGTTGTATGAGTTGGGTATGTACGGTAATTAATTCGTCAGCCGTCTTCCAGAAACTCAAAAAAGCAATAAAAGCTGCATTAATTCTACTGAGCTTAAAATATTAATGGTGAACTACTTAAAAATGTAATGAGTATGTAAACAAATCTTCCTGCATCAAAAATTTAATTAATTACCTTATTGTCATCTTTGGTGACAGCTCTGGCAGTCTCCTGATCAGCAACAAATCTATAACTCCTCTGGTAACTAAATACTGGTGCTGAAAAAATAATTGGCAAATGGAATGGATCAATTTCAGACTTCATTTTTTTTTCTAACACCCCAGCCATCTCCCACCGAAATAAGGCAAACCAAATAAAGGAGGAAACACATTTAGCATCACTCATTCAATGTCTGCCCGAAATGTATCACATGCTAGGGGCTTTCTTTTGTGCCTAACAATATTTTATTACGTGAAAACCACATTTTGTATACCGCAGAAAAGAAATAAAGTTGTACTGTATTGTACAGTAGTCCCCCCATATCCATGGGAGATATGTTTCAAGACCTACCGTGGACATCCAAGATCATGGATAGTAGCGTACACTTTATATTTCGTTATTTGTTTATATACATACCTGTGATAAAGTTTAATTGATAAATTATGCACAATAAGAGTAGAATTAGCACTTTTTCCAGTGATGAGAAGCACTTCATGTCTTGTAAAGTAAAAGGACACAAGTGCAACTAATGTGACATTTTATTGTGGCAACGTTTTGCTCTCCAGGAGCTTTATCAAGCCATATAGGGTAATGGCTTGATAAAGCTCCTGGAGAGCAAAACATTGCCACAATAAAATGTCACATTAGTTGTACTTGTGTCCTTTTACTTTACATATTGTCGGTAATTCTACCAACTTTATTACTTCATGTCTTCTCTTAGTCTTTGAAGAAAAGCCACCATCACTACTTTTGTGTCATTATTAAGCAAAATTAAGATTCATTTTCAGGCCACAGTAAACTGTGGATAACTGAAATTGCAGAAACTGAATCCACAGATACAGGGAGTCTGTGGTACTGTATAATGTCTTGTCAGAAAAGTGCTGATGTCACAGTTCATACAGCTCTCTGAACTACTGCCCCACCTTCCTTCAGAGTGTGGGCACTGTACTTCCCACCTCTGAGTTTCTTCAATACATTCATTACTGTTACCTTCAATTTGTGACCAGTAATTATAATCATGTGACATTATAGAAAGGACCTTCTTTATGTGAAAGTAGCACAGTCAGGTCACACACTGAGGTCCGTGGTTCGATTCACGGTACAGGTGGAAACATTGGGCATGTTTTCTGTTCTCCTAGAAGTAAAATAGGTACCTGGGTGTTAGCCGACTGGTGTGGGTCACATCCTGGGGACAAAATTTACCCGAAATGCTCTGCAAAACCCGGGGCTTCCTATATGTAGTATGTCACTGAGGTCGGCTATGGACTGTATAAGTTGTATCATGTACGTACTTATAGAAATAAAGATTTATTATTATTATAGAGCAGTAGTTAACTTCACAATTATTACTATTATATATAGAGAAAAAAGCTAAATCCATAATCAAGTAATCCAAAACAAGGGTAGTTCCAATTCCTTGGATCAAGAAACACCAGCAACAAAGCATGATTTTAAATGTTTTAAAACTTACATAGATAGAAAGACCAGAGAAATGTTTGTTTTTCATCATAAAATGGCTGTTTTTTCATCTTTACATAGCTGGGCAAAATGCTCCTACTAGGCACACTAGGCATCTGTAACTGCCAAAACTGTATGAAAGGCTGTTGACAAATTCCATTCCAAAATACCATCACGCCTGAAATAGAGGATATAATTACTTTCATATATGCAGCTCACAGGCTAGGAATGAGGTGCAGCAGAATGATGTATGATAGAATAAAAAAATATAGATTAATAACCTCAGATAACCTACAATAACCCAAGACAGCCAATCAATGAAGTTCATTTCCATTTAAGTCATTTAATTTTAAGCCACATTCCCAGGAACATACAGTACAGTGTCTAGATACAATACAGCCTCTCCTCACTTACTGAGGTGTACTTGTTTACCGATGCCTCGGACTCACGACGGGCTCTCTGACCAGTATTCATATTAAAGTTGACTTCCTCTATTCTGTTTATTTCAATATACAGTACACTATTGTATAAACATTTAAAAATATACCAGAAATGCTATAAATGGTGCAAAGGTGACATTATAACAATATCAAAGATTATTATTATTATTATTATCACACTGGCCGATTCCCACCAAGGCAGGGTGGCCCGAAAAAGAAAAACTTTCACCATCATTCACTCCATCACTGTCTTGCCAGAAGGGTGCTTTACACTACAGTTTTTAAACTGCAACATTAACACCCCTCCTTCAGAGTGCAGGCACCGTACTTCCCATCTCCAGGACTCAAGTCCGGCCTGCCGGTTTCCCTGAACCCCTTCATAAATGTTACTTTGCTCACACTCCAACAGCACGTCAAGTATTAAAAACCATTTGTCTCCATTCACTCCTATCAAACACGCTCATGCATACCTGCTGGAAGTCCAAGCCCTTCGCACACAAAACCTCCTTTACCCCCTCTCTCCAACCTTTCCTAGGCCGACCCCTACCCCGCCTTCCTTCCACTACAGACTGATACACTCTTGAAGTCATTCTGTTTCGCTCCATTCTCTCTACATGTCCGAACCACCTCAACAACCCTTCCTCAGCCCTCTGGACAACAGTTTTGGTAATCCCGCACCTCCTCCTAACTTCCAAACTACGAATTCTCTGCATTATATTCACACCACACATTGCCCTCAGACATGACATCTCCACTGCCTCCAGCCTTCTCCTCGCTGCAACATTCATCACCCATGCTTCACACCCATATAAGAGCGTTGGTAAAACTATACTCTCATACATTCCCCTCTTTGCCTCCAAGGACAAAGTTCTTTGTCTCCACAGACTCCTAAGTGCACCACTCACTCTTTTTCCCTCATCAATTCTATGATTCACCTCATCTTTCATAGACCCATCCGCTGACACGTCCACTCCCAAATATCTGAATACATTCACCTCCTCCATACTCTCTCCCTCCAATCTGATATTCAATCTTTCATCACCTAATCTTTTTGTTATCCTCATAACCTTACTCTTTCCTGTATTCACCTTTAATTTTCTTCTTTTGCACACCCTACCAAATTCATCCACCAATCTCTGCAACTTCTCTTCAGAATCTCCCAAGAGCACAGTGTCATCAGCAAAGAGCAGCTGTGACAACTCCCACTTTGTGTGTGATTCTTTATCTTTTAACTCCACGCCTCTTGTCAAGACCCTCGCATTTACTTCTCTTACAACCCCATCTATAAATATATTAAACAACCACGGTGACATCACACATCAAAGATGGTTGACACAAACTCACTACCATTACAGTATGCTCCTCACTTAGCAACGAATTCATTTAACAACGTGATCTCAGGAACAGAACTCCATCGTTAAGTGAGGAGAGGCTGTATACAGTATGTCTATTTGCCCAAAATGTACTGCATGCACACTAATGTACAAACACTGTATTATGTACAAGCCTTGTATTATGTTGAAATAAATTATTATTATTATTATTATTGTGATTATACTGCTGGTAACAGAGGCAGCAGGCTCTGCAAAACAATGGGCTTTCTACTTATACAGCCAAATGTTACCTATCTCTGTACAAACATTATATATGTGGAAATAAATCTTTGACTTGCCTTAGTGTCCCACTTTGCCCAAGGCTTGACATGGGTGCTTTTGGCTGGACAAGATCTTTCTGTGGATATTGAAGACTTTTTTCAATTTGTAATAAATTTTATTGCATTTTTACAGGGAATCTTACAGGCACAGTCATCAGCATTTTGGGGGGAATCCTTAATCAGTTTTTTTTTACTGTATCAAGATTTTTAAATACAACTTTGATTTTAAAATTCTTAAGTCACAGTGGAGATATAAAACAGCCTTACAGTGACTTCTTTTTTTTGTCTGTCTGGGATTAACCTAGGTAATTTACACTATGTATGATAATTGTACTTATGTGTACCTGTACCTAGAAACTTATTTACAGTGGACCCTCGGTTATCGGCTGTTCCGCTTATCAGTCAACTCGTTTATCGGCGGGTTTTTCGGCTTCCGGTTATTGGCCATTATTTTGTTTATCGGCTTGGGGCGTGTCAACCCTCCTGCCCGCCAGCCACTCATGCGTTCATGAGTCAGTCTTGTTGTGTCTCTGGGTGAGTGAGGACACTTCTGCTCATTCATCCAAACATCAAGGAAGCTAATGTTGTGAAAGGGGAGTTTAGCAGGGAGGCAGGGAGTGTAGGAAGCAGGCAGGGAGTGTAGGAAGCAGGCAGGGAGTGTAGGAAGCAGGCAGGGAGTGTAGCAAGCAGGCAGGGAGTGTAGCAGACAAGCAGGGAGTGTAGCAGGCAGGCAGGACCCCAATGAAAATAAGTCACTCTGTCTGACGTTTTTGGGTTATCCTAGGTTCTTTACACATATGCTGTGGAAGGGAGGCAGGGAGTGTAGCAGGGAAACAGGGAGTGTGGAAGGGAGGCAGGGAGTGTAGCAGGGAAACAGGGATGGTGGAAGGGAGGCAGGGAGTGTAGCAGGCAGGCAGGGAGTGTATTATTATTATAATAAAAAAGAAGCGCTAAGCCACAAGGGCTATACAGCGGCAGGGAGTGTAGCATGTAGGGAGGGAGTGAAGCATGGAGGGAGGGAGTGTAGCAGGCAGGCAGGGAGTGTAGCATGTAGGGAGGGAGTGAAGAGGGAGGAGGAGTAAGCATGGAGGGAGGGAGTGTAGCAGGCAGGCAGGGAGTGTAGCATGTAGGGAGGGAGTGAAGCATGGAGGGAGGGAGTGTAGCAGGCAGGCAGGGAGCATAGTAGGGAGGCAGGGTGTAGCAGGGAGTGTAGGAGGAAGGCAGGGAGTGTTGCAGGCATGCAGGGAGGGAAGTAACTCCAGAGAAGGCTTTGATACCCAAATTCCTTATGGAGGGGGATTCCCCTTCCAAACAATAATCAGTCCTCCCTCTCTCCTCCCTGTCTTCCATAAGCCAACAAGAGTCTTCAATAAAGGTTATGTAATTGTGATTTAAATGTTCATTTATTTATTTTATTTAGTTCTCATTGTTTTGTGTATGTAAAACTATATTAATCTTTTAAAAATGTATTTTTTGTTAATATTTTTGGGTGTCGAACGAATTAATTGTATTTACATTCATTCTTATGGGAAATATTATTTTGGTTTTAGGTCATATCGGAATGGATTACGGCCGATAACCAAGGGTCCACTGTACTTACTTACCAGTATTCAGGTTAGGTTAGGTACGGTTTGTCAAGAAACAGGACAAGTGTTTCTTGGTGCAGGTCTTAGTCATATGATGACCCACAGCTGGAGCTTTAGGTTATCTGACTGAGGCCTTCCACTGGCTTACCGGTCCACCTCTTTAAAAATTATGGTCATAGTTATAACAATCTGTAATAAGGAATATTCAGAGAAGAGGAAGAAAGTCTGTAAGCTGGAATTCCATCCCTGAAGACACAGTTAAGTGAATACATCAAGCCCAATTATACTTAAGAGTACAATGATCATTATACATCAAGGCTGCATACATAGCTGGAGTCCTCTCCAAATGCATCGACACATACAGCATTTGTATTCCTGCTCGATGCTGTGGAGACGTGACCTCTGACATGAATTATAAATATCTGACATGACTCACAAAATGTGGCAAAATGAGGAAATAATTCAAGGTAAAACATCATTAAAAGATTCAGGATTTCTCTTGCAGCATTGTGCTGGATGAGCTGAAGTCGACCAGGGACACAACCCTCATCAAGAAATCAAGTGCCAGCAATTACAGAACATCAGCACACAACAAGATAAGATTTTGTTTGAATTTGTAACTCCATCCTGGGACTGTCTGTCTTATTTCCACTGGGGGTCCTCAATATTGTCCCCCAGGATGCAACCCACACCAGTCGACTAACACACAGGTACCTAATGCTTGCTAGGTGAATGGGGACAACAGATGTAAGGAAACACGCCCAGTGTTTCCACCCTTGCTGGAGATTGAACCATGAACACTATGTGAGGTGAGAGCGTTGCTTACCAGGCCATGGGCCACTCAACCTGTAACTTTTTTAGTGGTGATAGCACAGGTCCAATAAAACACTGAAAAACTATACATATATAACAGCCCTAATGATGGCAAAACTCACGATAATCAGAGGAAAAGTTGACAAATACCTGAAAATTAAACTAAAGAGACTTTTCCATTACAATGGTGCACAATAATGCGAGTGTATGAATAATGTTAGTGTACCAATAATGTGAGTATGCCAATAATGTGAGTGCACAATTATGTGAGTGCACAATAATGTGAGTGTACCAATAATGTGAGTATGTCAATAATGAGAATCTTGGACTTCTAGTTCATGCCACAAATTTAATTTTATTAAACAAATAAAACAAACTTTATAAAGTGGACTACTGTACATTATACAATTAGAGTGACTGACTTATATAAACTATTTTATAAAATACCCCTTATTATGTAAGGCATTTTGGGCAACTTACGGTTTTTGTGATTTGAGAGAGAGAATGAACTATGATTTATATACAGTACCTGTAAATTAAGCCTTATATGTATTGTATCATGCAGAGAATATTTTAGAACATACAGTGGACCCCCGCATAACGATTACCTCCGAATGTGACCAATTATGTAAGTGTATTTATGTAAGTGCGTTTGTACGTGTATGTTTGGGGGTCTGAAATGGACTAATCTACTTCACAATATTTCTTATGGGAACAAATTCGGTCAGTACTGGCACCTGAACATACTTCTGGAGTGAAAAATTATCGTTAACCGGGGGTCCTCTGTATTGTGAGACAGGTCCACTGTAACTCTAGGAAGATAGATACCTAGCAGCTAGTCGAAACTTGTGGATCGCATCCTGGGAAGAACTGGAAAACGAATTCAGCGGAAAAGTAAACTTTCGAAAGAATGGACGAATGAGGAGGAGAGAGCAGTGCAAACCTCTCGTCCATCCTTCTGGTTATTTATGATAATAGTGATAATTTATTTCAGCATGTTACAACGTCTGTACATCGGAGAGCGAGATTTAGGCGTACATGCCGAAAGCCCCTTTATATGCAGTGCATTTTGGGCAAACTTAAGATTAACTTAAGATTAATAATGCAATAAGAATAAGAGAAATTTTGTATATATATAGTCACTTAGGAGAGTGTAATTTTAAATTTAGGAGTTTACAATGAATACAAGAGAATTGAGTATTGAATTTGTTCATGCTATATGGCTTTAATAAATTTAATAGTGAGAGGTTACAGATTTGATTATTACCTAATCTGCAATAATGATGAAATTAGGTACCTCAATTAATAAGAAAATTTATTTAGGTACAAGTACACATAAGTACAATTATTATACATAGTTTAACATACATACAAGTACAATTAATATACATAGTTTAACATATATACAAGTACACATAAGTACAACTTTAACATAGTTTAATAATATATTATATATATATATATATATATATAATATATATATATATATTATATATATATATATATATATATATATATATATATATATAAATTACCAACTAAAAAAAAGGTCAAAATAAGTGACTTATTTCCATTGGGGTTCTCCTTATTTTTTTTTATTTAACTGAGTTATCACAGGTTAAATCTACACAATGTACATTTTTATATACCAAAAAATTTATATATATATATACCAAAAAAAACAGTGAAAAAAATATGAATATTATGCCTACCAAGCCTAAATAGGTACACCAAAAATATGTATCCGTCCAAAAACCAGTTAAAAAAAACACGATTAGGCCTATCAGGCCTAAATATGTATACTAAAATATATGTATCCTCCCAAAAACCCATGAATATTAAACCTACCAGGCCTAAATAACTAAGCCTAAAAAAATAGGTATATTCCCAAAAATCCTTGAGAAAACCCATGACTGCCTACCAGGCCTAAATAAGTAAATAAAAAAATACGTATCCTACCCAAAAAAAAAAAAAATCTGAAAAAAAAACATAATTAAGCCTACCAGGCCTAATTAACAATAAGGATCAACTTAACCTGACTGATTTTAACACTGAGTTATATTACTGTTAAATAAAAATGTTAAAACATTGTCAAGGTTTAATATTTAACAATCAAATTAAAAATATATTTACTTATTTTCTCGTAATTTTTAAAGGAAGAGCAAATGTGATGACAGTGTTGCCAGAACCAGAGGAGCAAGAAACCTTGACCATCCTGCCAGTCTTGCCACAACCTCACACTCAATAATAATAATAAATAATAATAAATAATAATAATAATAATAATAATAATAATAATAATAATAATAATAATAATAATAATAATAATTCAAAATTAAAATTATTTCTGTGCATAATATACAATGTGGGATTATAAAATAGTGTCAAGTACAAAGACAACCATTAAGAGGATTGAATACCTCTGAGAGACTGATACTAATACTGATACACTACTTAATACTACTTAATGCTACTTAACACTTCTTAATGCTACTTAATACTACTTAATACTACGTAATACTACTTAATACTATGCAATACTACTTAACACTACTTAATACTAATTAGTACTACTTAATACTATGTAATACTACGTAATAGTACTTAATACTGCGTAATACTACTAAATACTACTTAATACTACTTAATACTACGTAATACTACGTAATACTACTTAATACTCAACAAACCATGTGGTGATGTTGCCACAAATACCCTCTGGACACTTGCTAAGAGTAACATCAACGTTTCCACCATAAACACATCATCTATCAAAGATTCTCACTACGAAACGCAGCCCCACACCTCTAACTTCCACAGCAGGTGTCTACACTATCCCCTGTGGACTCTGTCCCAGATATATGTAGGCGAGACAGGCAGATTATTATTATAATCAAGGGGAAGCGCTAAACCCGTAGGATTATACAGCGCCTGGGGGGGATGTGGAAGGCATTCAGGCTTAATTCGGGGAACTGGAGCACAGATCCAATTCCTTAAATCAAGAGCCCCTCACCAACATCAAGGAACCTTCCCTGAGGGGAGACAGGCAGAGATCTTGCAGTCCGCCTGAACGAGCATCGAAGTGCCAGCCACACCAATGGAAATAAGACACTCTTGACTTTTTTTGGGGTTATCCTAGGTTCTCTACACATATGCTGCTATGTATGATAATTCTATGTAACTGTATTTGTGTATACCTAAACTTACTTATTAGACGATTTGAGGTACAGTTGTGTCCTCCACAGAGACTCCACAGGGCATCTGATGAACTGGGATGAGGCACTACTCGTTCTCACTGAACTAGATCTGACACCGACGGTGCCTAGAAGCCTCGATAATCGCGGCCACCGACACAACAGAACGTAACACTGGAAACCTCAAAATTTCTAAAATATTAGAATATATTATACTCAAGTAGGCATAGCAGCACCTACCCAGCAACACAGGAGTCACATGATCTCATCGTCTGCCCGTCCTCATCCCAACATGGCATTCTTCAGGTCACCATGTGTCACTCACACCTCACTCTCTGCCTATATATAATGTCTTTCTACCTCTGTATGTTAGAAGTGATCAAGGTCCCAGGACCGAAACGTTTTCTAATATGTTATAGTGTTTTCTTATGTGTCTTTCTAAACCAACTTGTTGGTATTTATTTGCAGATGACCAGTGTCATCTGCGAATTATTTGACCAGATGACCTTACGACCTCGACTTGAAACTATGTTGTTGAAGGCAAAAGTAACTGCATTTATGGTGAAAAAACTTGTGTCATGAGCAAGCAGAATTGTTTATGTTCTTATGAGGCATTAGGAAGGTCACTTACGTGGATGAGGAAACGTAGGGTGCCCAGGATGCTGCCATGGGCACGCCTATATTGACTAATGGAGATGAGGAAAAGTATGGTGTCCAGGATGCTACCCTGGGGCACGCTTATATTGACTGATGGAGATGTTGAATATGAAAAGTATGGTGCCCAGGATGCTGCCCTGAGGCACACCTATGTTGATTGATGCCATGCGTCTGTCATTGAGGTAAGGAGTTCTAATTTGTGGTCCACTTTATTAACATTGTTATTGTGGAAAATAATGTATTTTCCAGAAAAAATACAGTGTATTTTTTATGTAAATTAGTGTAATACATTGTATTAATAAAATTTGTTATAAAAAATGGGAAATTCTGCGCCTGCGCAGAGAGACTCGCCATGTTTGAACAAGTCAACACAAACGTTAGTGAATAATGGGAAGAATTTTCGTGCTCTAGAGGTAAAATTGGGCTGACACCTCTCAAATAGGAGCCGAAATTGTTGGATGTGCATTCCTGCATAACTTGAGATATCAGGCGACTGGACAAGACAGCTCCAGGAACCTCAGATGAGCTATCTAAATTTGTGTTATAATTTTGGCCAGCATTATTTTCATAAATTTGGTTAGAATGAGGTTTTTGAATATGATACACATTAATCTCCAGTCAAATTGGTGAGTGATATTAAGATATATTCTCCTTCTGTTATATAATTGTGCATATGTAATCATTTATTAATTTTAATATACAGTCCACAAATTTATATATTTACCAGAATTCCTGGTGTATGTACATTCCATTTGTAATTATAGGTCTAGAACAACTTGTGGATATGACAGTGGTAGGTATCGAAGGGGGACATTTTTGCGACCTAGGTGTCCCAAATTCCTACTTGTCTATGTAACTTTGATAAATAATAATTATCTGTGTTACCATTTACTGGTATGTACCTTATAAATTACATTCAGTTAAATGCAATTTTCCACAGTTATAGTCATCCATTGTGTGGTCACTTACGGAGATTTCCTCAGGATAACTCGACGAAGCCAATATGACTCGCGTCCCTCGGTGTTCTGACTACTGGTGTTTATTTATACTTCTGACAATGTAGCCGACCTTAGTAATAAGACAGTATGAGATTTGTGACAGTTTATCAAGATGTTTCGCCCACCAGGGACTATACCAGTTCCTTGGTGGACGTTTCAGTTTAATATGTTTATTGTGCACCCCATACCCATCCTGTGGGTGGTAGTCAAAAGATTACAGAGGTACATAATGGGTCCAGGGACTGGACTCCAAAGTTTCGATAACAGAGCAAGTTACAAAAGTAATGAACTCCAGGTATATCTGGTCACAACCATGACAAATTACAAAGGTATTTACAGATTACAGAGGTACATAATGGGTTCAGGGACTGGACCCCAAAGTTTTGATAGCTGAACTAGGTACAAAGGTAATGAATCATGTAAGTAAATTTACTTACGAAATATCATAAAACAACTGTTAGCATGTATATTTTACAGTATCGCATATGTCAGCTCACTGATGCTGACTCTTGCTAGTGAAGTATTATGTACTCACCAGTGTATGGTTGCAAGGGTCGAATCTCAGCTCCTGCTCCTGGGACTTTCCTCCCTTTCAGCACCTTCACAGATTAATTGTCCTTATAACTTAGTCTTAAATATGACGTGCACGGGTAAACCATGTCAGAATCATCCAAAAATTTCACAGTCGCCGTCACAGTTAGTGGCCATTGCTAACCTTCCCAGTATTATAAAAACAATCTCAATTATTAAAGATTCGCCGGTATTCTCCCGGCCCGGGCCTTTTCCAAGTGGTGGCCCAGCCTTGGCTCCCTCTTTAGGGAGTGTCTGAGACCTAAGTCTCCCATGGGAGGAGGCACAAATACCTCCTCATCTTTGGGACCAACTGTCCCTAGGCCTAGCCACAAGCTAGGCCTCTCTGGTCTGCCATCCTCGCCCCAAAGGGGATAATGGGAATGACAGTCTTATGAGCTAAAAGCTCGGGCCCAGGCACCTACCCTACCCTAGAAGGGTTAGGCATGGTGTCGATGGCCTCTCAATAAAAAAATAAAGCATTATACTTAGTTATAATAATCTGAAAAGCCCATTACAGTGAATGAATGTAATAATGAAGGAGTTGAGATTGAAACCCGTAGTGTGAGAGCAGTCACCAAGTATCAATCAATCAAGTTTATTCTCTATAAGGATTACAATGCGGGGTTTACAGATTTTGAATATTGTGTGATTTACATGTTTTAAAATATACTAATTACAGAGGGGGGCCACTAGGACACCTAGCATGGCTAGGCATTTCGGCCAGACTTAGATTAATTCTAAACTTTAAATTATTACAGACCCTAGACTTCAAGCATTTACAGATTAGGTTAGGTAAGGTTTGTCAAGAAACAGGACAAGTATTCCCTGACGCTGGTCTTGGCCATATGGTGACCCACAGACTTTACGAGAAACTTGTCCCGAAAGTGGCGTCGTCAAGGATGGGGGGCGGGCCGCCCCGGGTGAGTGTGGTTTTTTACCTCAGTTGCCATCAGTGTAACAGAAAACGTATAATAAACAGCTGTAACTTTTTAATGGAGTTCAGGGACTCTAACCTTGGGCAAGAATTTACAACGTACCGATCATGTTAATGGGAACTTCAATAAGAACTGTCACCAACTGCCACCCTAGGCCACTACCTCAGTAGGCCTGCCAAATGTCAACCACATTCTGTAGTTCCCTTTCGAGGTGTTATATTAAACGCAGAGAACTGAATCATAGATAACACTGAAGGGAATACACTTTACGAGTAGATAATGGCTCCAGGAAGCACCGAAAGGTCTACTGGTTTCCATTTTGTGAGTTGCACCGTTCTTTCCCCGCAGCAACATCCAATAATTCCATCTTATTTTCACTGCCAGGGGGGTTTAGTGCGCTTCCCATTGTTCACAACGTAAGACTGGATTTCCTTTGTACAACTTGGGTGAAGCAGTGTCAGTCAGTGTACCACTCTATCACTTGCTACACCACCACTTGAGTTTAATTAAGCAGGTGGGCCATGTGTAATACAGGTGTATGAATAATGCACAGGTGTGTGTGAGATGCATGAATGTATACCAGGCTCTGATATGTTATTACCCAGAGCAGTAACATTGCTGCTGCTGGTGCTGAGACTAGACTCTCTTCAAAGTCAAATTCACACGTCCTCAAAGTTATACGTCCTCAAAGTTATACGTCCTCAAAGTCACACGTCCTCAAAGTTAATCTATTTCGCTTTTCCAAGACCAGAGTTCAGAACTAATTTAATTATCATGTAAAGATAAGAAGGCGGCTACTATCTCCAAGTCAACATTATTACGGTAACCTGTCTTGTGAAGCTCTGCTATTTAATGTGATATTTTACATATACAA